GGATGTCACGTGCTCCTGGTGTCTCCGATTACCTGGGAAGATGGGAGGTCTGCGGGTTCTGGCAGCTTTCGTGTGAGATGCCCAACTCCTTTCTGAGAATATACCCTAAAGAAATCAGAACTGCCTTCCAAGCAGATACATGCACACCCATGTTTATTGCTATTTTGTTCTCAATGGAAGAGAGAGGGAAACAACCCAAGTGCCTATCAACAAACGAATAGATAGAGAAGCTGTGGTATAGTCACATAATGGAATACTAAGCAGCACTAAAAACAAGGAACTTTTGAAATATTGTACAAATTGGTGGCCCTGGAGGAAATTATGCTGAGTGAAGTATCTCAGTCTCAAAAGGACAAATACTGCATATCACTGTTATAAAACAGGACTGGCACGAGGGTTAGGGGGGAACTAAGAAAAGGGGATAAATAATAAACACTGCATTGAAATAAAGGAGGGAAAGAACTGTCTAAAAGAAATATTTGATTGGTTATTATTTGCATGACAATAGTCCACAATGAGAGATGCATAGCAAGGTGGACTAAGAGGTGGTAGGGAGGGAGGAAATTGTGCAACAATGAAAGAATCTTTTTAAAGTGAAAATTGACCTGCGGGGGTGGGCAGGGAGGAAAATGTGCACCAATGAATGTATGGAAATCCAAGTTCTCTATAAACTTTTATTAAAATCTCAATTTAAAAAAAAAGAACTGCTAAAAAAAAATAGTAAAACTTGAGAGTTTAAATGACTCCTTGATCCATGGGCTACAGAAAGGACATTGTACTAGCTGTCATGAGAACATTACTCTTGTACATCTCATCTCTGTTGGAGTTCCTAGGTGACCAGGTGCAGTGTGTATGAATAGTAATGCTTTAAAAAGAATCTGTTTTCCCCTTCTGAGCAGTAGGTCCCAACAGTGGACTTAACATGCTCAGTTACCACATTATAAACATCTGTGCTGTCCTCCAGACTTTGTTGTTCCATTTCTAGAGCACAGGCAAAGTAGCTTTGTTGCTGTTGTGTACCATAGAGTTGGATCTGACCCATAGCTGACCCTCCGGCAGGTTTTCAGAGGCAGTTAATTGCACAGGAGGAGATTGCCCTTTCTTGTGCAGAGCACCTGGTGGCCCAAATTGTGTGCCTTCAAGATTGCAGCTCAGCTTCTTGCATGTAGGCTGCCAGGACTCTATAGCAAAATTATTAAGGACCCTGGGTTTTTCACAATGGTAAATGGACATTGACTTCAGCTTAGTCACCAGCTGGATTAGCCTATAACAAAAGTCAGCCCGTCCATCAAGCTTTAAGTCAGGTGTTGACTCCTCTCTAGCTATGAATGTCTTAGATGGCTGCTTCTTCCAACAATTAAGCTGGTCTGTCCATATAGAAAGTCTGTTGTTTAATACAGCCACTTCAACACTATCTTCAATAGAGCTTTTAGATAACGTGCTGCAGCCTGTTGCCTCAGTTTGCACATTTATGTTATGGAGCTAACAGAACTTCATTAATTAACCTGTTAGCTTCAAATGGGTTTGGTTTTTTCCCTGTGGGGTTTATACTTCTCTCAGCTGTCTCAGAATTGAAGAGACTTAGGACTTTGCTCTGTATTATGTCTTGGATTGCGGAAATGTGTAGCTGATTTGATCTTCTATCCAGACCATTAGAATGTTCTTATCAGCAATCAGGTTGTTTCACTCTTGTATTATTTGTGGGTTCACTGGTGTAGCACATTTCATTTCCTTCAGAAACTTTTCCTTTGCTTTCACAGATTGGCTGTTAGATGCAAGAGGCTCAGCTTTTGACCTTTCTCAGATTTCCACAATGCCTTCCTGACTGGGCTTCATGCTTGTCATTTTTTATTTAAAATGAAATATGGAGGGAGAGCTCTGGTGGCCTAGTGTCAAGAAGCTGTGCTGCAATCCCAAAGGCACACGGTTCGAATCCACCAGATGCTTTGCTGGAGAAGGAGGGGCAATATCCTGTGCCAAAGGAGGTCTGACTTGACAGTACACAACAAGAAAAGTACAAATTAAATTAAATACAGGATTCTTCCTTCCACTTGAGTACTTAGATGTTATTACTATCAGGGTTATTAATTGGCCTAATGTTAATTTTGTCATGTCTCTGGGTCTACAGAGTCTTGTAGGGAGGGAGAAAGACCGGGTAACAGCTGGTTAGTGGAGCAGCCAGAACACACATTTATTGATTAAGGTGGCCATTGTACATAGGTGCAATTTTTGATGCCACACAAAAAAATTACAATAGTAACAACAAAGATCACAGGTCAGAAGTTACCATAATAGATAGAATGATGATTAAAAAATTTGAAGTATTGCAAGAGTTACCAAAATGTGGCACAGAAATATTAAGTGAGCACAGGAGGCAGGGTTATCACACTTTCAGTTTATGAAAAATAGAAGAGCTGCGATAAAGTGACATGCACTTGGGCAAGATGTGCCTTGTTAGCGTTTGACATCCACATGATGTGTTTGAACATAGCCCTATGGATATAGGGACACTGCTTATGTCTTTTTCTGGTCTCATGCCTAATAACCAGAAACGTGAGTATTAATATTAGTGGGTTTTAGTAACAAAGGGACCCTGGAGGCGCAGTGGTTAAGGTACTCAGTTGCTAACCATAAAGTGGGTGACCCAAACCTGCCAGCCACTCTGGGTAAGAAAGACAGGGCACATTGCTTCTATATTGATTTGCAGCCTTGAAAACCCTACAAGACATTTCTACTCTGTCCTAGGATCCCTGTGAATCAGAACCAATTCAGTGGCAGGGCTTTGGTGTGGTGTTTTTTGTTTTTGTGTTTTGTTTTTTTTTTGCAGGGGTGGGTGGTCAGTCACATAAGCAGCTAAGTAAACATGTGCGTGGGATTTCAGCCTCATCCCTGTGGAAATCAGTTCTCTAAGTTCTGCTTCTCTCTTGTAGACATTTGCAAATCTGGAGCCATCCCCTCTGGCTTGGAGGAGAGGTTACGGTTGGAATGGCCCCTCCAGGAGCAGCTGCTACTCAGAGAGCAGTACGAGAAAAAGTTCAAGAACAGCACCTACTCAAGTAAGAAGTGAGAAGCCGCCTGCTGCTGGCCTGGTTCCCAGAGTGTTTGGATGCTGGGCTTGGTTTGAATTCTTAAGTAGCTAATCTGTAAAACTCTAACCAGTTGCCATTGAGTCACCTAGCTCATGGCATCACCGTGTGTGTCTGTAAGGTTCTCAAGATGCTGTTTTGAAGGTGGGTAGCCAGGTCTTTCTTCCAAGCTGCTTTTGGTTGGACACATACCTCCATCCTTTTCATCAGCAGTACAGAATGATAGCCTTTCACACCATCCCAAAACTTCAGTGTAAGGCAGCCGAGTGCTTAAACACTATACTACCAGGGCTTCTGTCATAAAGTTGCATATTACTCAGAAGCTGTCTAGAGTTAATGGGAAATCTTGAACGCAAAACCTCTGTTATTCCTTTATTTAATCTGATTTTACTTGTTGGCTACAAAGTATAATATATAAATCAATCATAATGACCTTCACTGCTCTGTAGAACTGTTGTTGTTGTTGTTAAGTGCTGTTGAGTACGACTCATAGTGATCCTATGTACAAAAGATCTTAACCCTGTTCTATCCTGCGCCATCCTCACACTTCCTGACACACAAGAGCTCATTGTGGCAGTCACCATGTCAATCCACCTGGTTGAGGATCTTCCTCTCCTTTGCTGATGCTCCACCCTTCCCACCATCATGTCCCTGACCAAGGAATAATCCCTCCTAGCAACATGCCCAAAATATGTGAGATGAAGCTTCCAAAGAACACTCTGGCTGCACGATCTTCAAGATATATCTGTTCTCTTGGCTGTCCATGGGACATTTAGTGCTCTTCTCCAACACCATAGCTCAAAGACATCAATTCTTTTTCTGTCATCTTTATTCATTGTCCAGCTCTCAGATGCACAGCAAGTAATTGGAAAGACCATGGCCTGAATCAGATGCACCTTGGTCCTCAAACTCACATCATTACTCATAAATAACCTGGAAAGGTCTCTAACTGCAGATTTTCCCAGTGCAATGTGTCTCCTTGTTTCCTGACTACTGGTACCAATGTGTTGACTGTGGATCCAAGCAAGATGAAGCTGTAGACAGCTTCAATCTCCTCTCCACCCATCATGATGTTGCTTATCAGTCCAATAGTAAGAATCTCTGTCTTCTTGACATTGAGATGCAATCTGTACTGAAGGCAGCATTCCTTGATCTTCTGCAACAGGTGCTTCAAGTCCTCCTCACTTCCAGCAGGCAAAGTAGTTCCATCTGCATAACACAGGTTAGGCTTCCTCTAATCCTGACGCCACACTCCTCTTTGTAGAGTCCAGCTTTTCAAATAATTTGCTCAGGATACAGATTGAATAGGGATGGAGAGAGACTAGAACCCTTATGCATTCTCTTCTTAATTTTAAACCATGCAGTGTTCCCCTGCTCTGTTCTGACACTGAAAAATTTCAGGAAGTTCAATATGAGCAGGAGTGAATGGTAATGAAGGAGGAAGTGGAAGCTGTAGAACCAGGGAGGCAGGAAACACAAATATATTTTTCTTTCTCCTCCCATTCCTGAGTCCTAATGCCACAGTTATCAAGTATTTTAGGGAAATTAACACAATTCAAGTTGGCAGCTAGATACAGGCCTTCAGTCCAGACAGCTTCTCAGGCGTGGCCGCAAGCCCTTTGATCTTCAGCCTCATGTCTTAGGGCAGTGTCACCAAGCCCCCTATGGCGTCTCCCCTCAGTCCTCCAGCAAGGTTGGGTGAAGGCCCCTCTTTCTGGTTCCATAGGGCAGCGGACCCAAGTCAGCTCTGTCTCATGTTTATCTCTGGTACTCTGTTGAGCCTCCTGTTGCTCTATGTAGATCCTGATCTAGCTGGTACAGGAATCTCTGGCTCCTGAAGGATGCATGCTGCACTTCGGGCTTCCTTTGTCTTGCTGGTATTGCGCAAATGCAACCATATTCTTCATTGAAAAGTAAAATATAGAAATAAGAAGACTAAAGTGTGAAAGTACTTCACATTTCCTTGTCTACTGCATCACTCCTGTGTAAATTGGGATTAGTGAAGGAAATCTCATCATGCCAGAGACCTAATCATCAAACAGCACTTTCACTTGCTTTCCTCTGTGACTGCAAGCACAGTGCTAGCTCAATTTACTAGGAATTTCTTTCTGTTCACTGATGCAGTTTTGGATGTTTTGTTGTACATGGTCTTTAATGTCCATAAGACAAGCAATTCTCTTACTTAACTTTGAAGTAAGTTTTTATTTGAAAGTTTGTTTTATTCCTTACGAAAGGTTTTTGTTTCCTTAAATCTTCATTAAGGAATTCCCTGTTTGGATACTCTAAAACTCTTCTTTTTAAAATATTTTTTCTTTTTCTTCTTTTGATTTTTTTTAAATTGAGAAGTATACATTTAATGTAGATTAAAATACTATTTATGCTTTTTATAAAAAGAAATTAAATTTCATTATAGAATGCCTAGGTTCACATATAACTTAATACTTCATATTAATCAAATCCACTTACCATAATAAATCTCTGTGTGAAGGGTATTCATTGGAGAAGGAAATCATGCTTGAAAAGTTGGAGGGATAGTGAAATAAAGACCCTTAACTGGGTGAATTGACCGTGAGGGGCTTCAGTGTGTCAGAGATTGTGAGGCTGGCACAGGGTATGACAGGGTTCAGATCTGTTGTTCACAGATGAGGTAGCTATGAGGACTCCTGCTTGACTTGACACACCTAAAACACTTATCTGTCTTTATGTACCTAAATATTTATAAGTGAATATGAAGAAAGTTCTCACAATATTTGTTGTTGTGTACTGTTGAGTCGAAATTGACCTGCAGCTAACCCTCCAGGGGGTTTTCACAAGCATTTCATCACATGAAAAAAATTGCCCATCTTTTTCCCATGGAGCAGCTGAAGGATTTGAACCATTTGCCCTCAGGATTGCAGTGCAGCTTCTTACTACTAGGCCAGAGCGCCAACATAAACAGCATAATGATTGGGAAGAAACTGAAGTTGTCGAGGATTTTACTCTTCTTTTGTCAATAACTAACATGCACAGAACCAGATCCAGAAATCAATGATCTATCATTTTGGGCAACCTTCAGCAAAAGTGCTCTTTAAAATGAAAAAGCAAGGATGTTATTTTGATAATTAGGACATATAACTAGATCCAAGTCATGGACTTTTTCAATTGCCTTATTGTTGTTGTTAGGTGCTGTCAAGTTGCCTGTAACTCATAGTGATCCTGTGTACAACAGCTCTCACACGTGCCTGGTCCTGAGCCAGTCTCACCGACTCCGGCACACCTATTCCCATTACCCCAGTTACTGTATCTATCGATCTCATCAAGGTTTTCCTCTCCTGCACTGTCTCTCCACCCTTCCAAGAATGATAACTTTCTCCAAGAACTGGTCCCTCCTGGCCATGTATCCAAAGTATGTGAGACAAAGCTTTAAAATTTTAGCTTCCAAGGAGAAACTTGGCTTCACCCTCTCCAAGAAAGATTTATTTGTTTTCTTGGCAGTCCATGAAATGTTCAAGACTCTTCTCCAGCAGCAAACTTGAAGGTATTGATTCTTCTTCTGTCATTCTTCATCATTGTCCAGCTTTCTGATGCATAGCAAGTAATTGCAAAGACCATGGCCTGGATCAGGCACTCCTTAGTCTCTAGACAACATCATTGCTCTTCAGGACTCTGGAGAGGTCCCTGACAGCACATTCCCGTAATGCAATTCATTTTTTAATTTCCTGACTGCTAGTGCCAAGAGTGTTGATTGGAGCCGAGCAAGCTGTAAATGTTAACAACCTCAATATCTTCTCCATCCATCATGGTGCTACCAGATGGCCCAGTGGTAAGAATCTTTGTCTTCTTGAAGTTGAGCTTCAATCTATATTGATGACTACAGTCCCTAACCTTCTGCAGCAAGTGCTTCAGATCCTTCTCAGTTTCAGCAAGCAAGATTGTGTCATCTGCATAATGCAGGTTGTTGATTCCTTATAGACCTGTGAAACCTGGACAGTGTAAAAGGGAGTTTAAAGAAGTGATTAACTCATTCCAATTGCAATGATGGTGAAGAATACAGAATATACCATAGTCTAGGAAAAGAACAAACATCTTGGAGGAAGCACAGCCAGAGTATTCCTCAGAAGTGAGGATACTAAGACTTAATCTCACATACTTTGGACATGTCATCAGAAGGGACCACTCACTGCAGGGTGTTCTGCTTCATAAAGTAGGTCGTCAGTGAATAAGTGGGACCTCCAAGAGGTAAATGGACAAAAATGCTGCAGCACTGTGCTTACACATAGAAATGACTGAGGATGGTACAAGACAAGGTGGCATTTCCTTCTGTTACACGTAAAGTTACTATGACTCTGAGCTAACTCAGTGGCACCTAGCAAGTCTGAAAATAAAACATCCACTCCCTAAACAACATGTCTCTGGAAATTGTATGAACTTTGATAAATGTCAGTAGTTATAGAAAAGTTTCAGGCCTTTTGTTCATAGGGTCGCTATGAGTCGTGGTCAAATTGACGGCAGTCAACAACAACAACATGTATAAGCTACTTTGTGTGGTAACTTCAAGGAGGGAAAATGCTAAAAGATGAATAAAAGAATATTTTTTAAAATCTCATCACAAACTAATAAAAATATTTTTTCAGGTTTTCTGGACTTGTATGTATTAATAAAAGCACATTCATGTAATCTAGACTTTCAGAAATAAAAGCTAGTCACTTATTGATGATCAAAACTTAAAAAGCAATTGAGAGGATCCTCATAACAGTTAAGGAATCACAATTTTAGAAAAGCAAAATTATTTGTAGAATTGGTCCACAGTACATGGAATGTCTTAATTCCTCTTAGTTCAACACCTATAATTTAACTCTAAGATTTTTAATATAGCCTTTTTAGGTACTTTAAGCTGATAGTGACTTTACACTACAGTAAAGTGTCTATTATATAGTTGTCTATACTTCCTAAGTTGGAAGGAGGAGTAGCATCCACTTCCATAACAGCTT